TCAAATACACAGCGAACAAGCAACAAGCAACACACTAACAGGCAAAGAAGCAACGGCAAACAACTTACCAAAACAGCGCGCCCATTCCTCATAGATCCAAAAATCATATGTTTCAAGGTGATTCTCTAAATCCGCCGGCATGGCGCTTGAAAACTCACCAGTCCCCTGAGCCTCTGCCGACCGTTCTCGCGCCTGTTGGGATAGGTCGCCCAGGCGGCAGAAGCGGCGCTCCGGGCGGAGGCGCAAGACCTTGAGGCAGCTGGGCACCTTCGCCGCGTCCGACGCTTCGGCTTCGCGCTTCGAGCTGACTGAAGGGGGAGAAGCGCAAGGAGGTCCGAGATGTGGAGTTGAATGAGATGTTGGAAAGACATGGTCTCCCAAACTGAAAAGAAGAGATGTGGCCTCTGACGGCCGAAAGTCGACTTTCTCGACTTTGCGGATTGGGGCATACCCGCCACCAGTCCCTCGAAATGGCTTCCTTGGACAAACAGCGAAGAAGCCGTCCAAAAATGTCCTGAGCTCGTCCGTTGGAACTGCAGCAAAAGCTGGGGGACCTACAGATTTGCCGTGGCAGAGGGATCGTCAGCAGCAGCAGCAACTGTAAACTGTGGGTTTCTCACGCCCATTGCAAAGGGCATTGACATCAGTTCCGCCACCTCCTTGGACCAAAACAAACAACACATCACTCAAGACATGCCCTTTTGCACAGACTGCCGCCCTTGTTTGGTTCGGATCTTGCATCATGGCAGCTTGTAACTGACGCCCATCCAAAGCAATCTCAATCAGCAGCACAACTCTGAGCACATCAGAAGGCCCCCAATACAGTAACTTCGTCAGCAACAACAATAATTGAAAGTGAATGTGTGTTCCTCTCGCAAGACAGTCAAACAAAAGCTGCTCTACCCGTGCAACTGTGCAAACTTGGAAACATACATTGTCCAATTATCCAGGGAAGTGAGGTTGGACGAATCAAGCTTGACTTGGTCTTTGCACACCACCAAGTGTTCCATCGCTGCTCACAACATGCTGTCGTTCTTTCACCGCCATGGCAAATGACAAGCATGAACGCAGAGCTCCGACAGGCCATGTGGATGGCGACATGTGAAACATGTGAAATATGTGAAACATGTGACTAGCTAGCGAACATGGAAATATTGAGTATGATCGGATTCCTCGATTTCAGATGCAAATCAATCCATCCTTTCAGATTCGCCGACTTTAAATTGAGCATTTGTACAGGCATTGGTTGTAGGACTCGCATTCTGTGATCCCTTCACACGTGAGGTAGCCTGACAACCTGGTTGATCATCGATTGAACTGATACATTGTGATAAACACTTGGCAACACCTCCTGAGCGCCACGGTGAACCCTCTGGGACGCCCGAACCACCATGCCTAGGTGAGAATATGCAGTGTGGGTGGTGGGGAGGTTGCAGGGGGGTATTTTGACACCCTTTATGGACTTCCTTTTGGAACCGAAAAGAAACCATGGCATGTTTCCCAAAATGTGTACGTGTTTGTGTGTGTGTGTGTGTGTCAAACCCAGGGCATCCTGTTTTCCTAAAAATAATCTATCTTCAATCCAAGAAACGCCTTGAAGAGTTGAAAGCGCTAAGGTGCAAAGAGGTCTGGGAACTGGGTAGAAACGACGCAAAAGTAATGCTAAATACCAGTAATCGTCGTTTGGCGGTTGCAAAGCAAGGTCCTCTCCTATCAAACCCTTGAACATTCACCTTTTTGTTGCACTGAACAGTGCTTCCTAATTCGCAGGAAGTATATGGTAATGGATTCTGCATTGCCAGACTCAATCATTTCTTGCAAGCCCTTTGGCCTTTTGGGTTTCCAACTTTTCCGGTTTACCGTGAATGACCGACTGAGTCAAGGCCTGTATATATACACATGCTACGACCCATTCTTAATACCAAGGCTTTGGTGAGTTTGAGGCATGTGGTGCCTCACAACCAAGGTGTTTCATGAGTTTGAGTGACATGCGGACTGACATGAGCGTGATCTAGCCCTTACACAACTAGACAGAACGGACTTGGCAGTGGAATACCGAGCAGAGGGGCTCGAGAAACAGAGGGGCTCACAATAAGTGCGATAATCATCCCGCATATTATGTAAACCCTTTGCGGTATTTAAAAAAAAAAACGCAAAAAAACAATGTGCATATAGATACACACTTGTCTGCGCAGACCCCAGTGGCCATGGGGTAAAGGGCACGCTTGTTGGTGCCTGGTTTTCAAGGGAAAACCCCCGCCCCCCCCACAAAAAAAAAAAAAAAACATCAGTAGAGGCCTATGCATCCTTCACCTGCGCAGTTTTCCCTTGTTTGCATCCCGTCCGTGGCCGTGCCTTGGCCAGTGAAGCTCTCTGCAGATTCTTCCGTGTACCTTTTCGTGGACTCGCCAAGTCCGTCCTTACAAGCCGAAGAGCAGCTGTTTGTGCTTGCTTTACTTGCGAATCCACCTGGCTAGGAAGTATCCATTCTCAACAAAGTGATTCGTGACCTGTTTACGGCATGTTAACTGTTGCTTGAGGAACTCCCATGCGAACCAAAGTCCAAATTGCGTCAAACATAGCATTCATGTCAGTTTTTTGTGACTCTCCGATCGTGTTTCCAGTGAATTGCAGGGGAGGCTGTAACAATGATAGTTACGCTCATTCAAAACTGCTCTGTGGTGACGTAAACCCAATCTCATCCTGAGGGCAGTGTTCTTTGAGATCATAGAATCATAGTCATTTCATGATACATCACTTGAGGAAAGCAACAAGCCAAGTGCGAACACCAAACCCCTGCCCCGTTGTTTCGCCCTTTGCTTGCGCCGCTGAGAAACGGGTTTTTCTCTCGGCGGGCGGCGCTTCTTGCGGTCGTAAGGGTGGGGGATGCCCTCGAAGGTCTTCAGCCTGGCCACGCACGTGGTTCAAAACTTGGTGCGTCAACTTGATGCCCAAAGAGCTACACTTGCTTAGTGGGATATGACATAAATATCTAGGGGTTGATTCCCCATCCTTTGCAACCATCGTTCTTTTCAAAAACCAGCTGTTTCCCTGGGTGTTTGATGGTTTACTGAAAAGAAACAACGTGATGCCTAAAGAGTTAAACTTGGATATGGCCATGGGTCATAACCTATGCCTTGTTTTGGGGCGGAACACCCATGTACCACCTATTCTGATGTTCACCACAGGGGTACAGGGTTTTGACCCACAGCCATATGACGTAAACCCCGCCAAACGCCGAACTAGTCTATGGGTATGGCTGGGAACTGCTCAGCAATCGGGGGAGGGGGGGTTTTCTTTGTGGGGAACCCGAATCCTCATCTGCGATGAGCAGTAGGTGCGGTCTGGATTGATTTCAGGAGTGTTTGCTTGCAGAACTCCAGTCAGTAGAAAGACTGGGTGTTCGATTGGAGCGAAACCAATAGAAATTCAAAATGAACAAGGGCAGCTGGAAATTCATCTCTCAATTGACTCCGAAATTGATTCCCGCCCGCCGCGAACGGGACATTAGAAACCGAAAGGACGAGCAAATGGGCTAAGAAAAGCCAAGGTCGGGCAAACTTGCCTGTGAAGGACGTTCCAAATCTGCAATCAGGCGACTGGGAGAAAAAGTTGGCCATTGAACTTGCATGAGGCACACACGAGCTAAAGGAGGAGTAACATACAGCCACTTCCCACCTGGCAATGCCAGGTAGAATATATGTCATGTTCAACCAGCTAACTTGTGGGTAGTAACAAGAATTGGTAGACCACTGCCCATTTGGGGAAGCCTCGTGTTTTCTGTCCCGGCACTTGAGATCACGCCCATGGCCTCCGACCGGTTTGTCCGCAAGAAGCCCCATTGATTTGGATTGCTTTGGAGGTGTTCTGGGGTGGTTTTCCCATTGGCCAACAAGAAAATCAGTGCAAATCCCCAAGCCAATCCAAACCACCAGCATCCAGCTGCAATCCAGTACCAGCATCCAAACCCCAAGCCAATCCAAAACCACCAGCATCCTTACCACCAGCATCCAGCTGCGGGTTGGTTTCACTGCGGTTTCGCTCCGCACCGAAAGCTCTGCACCGAACCCGCGCCTGTCAAGGGCCGCACTGCCGCGCGCGGTCTTATGGGGCACCTGCCGGATGTCGCTCTCTACAAAACCCAGGGACTGATCGGGCACAGGCCATGGGGTGGTGAGGCGTTGGACTCTAGGACCGAAATAAGTAGAATGTTAGAATGGTGGTGGGATACTCGAAAACATTTTTTGGTCATGAACATCAGAAAGATTGCCGTCTTTCCAATCATGGCAGAAAGGCCTTGGAAGACCATTGTCTTGAAAATGCCATTTTCCATGGCGCATATTGCGACACGTCCAAAACAATCCGGTCGGACATATGTCGGGACATCTGGGATTTCATGGATGTCAGGGATTGCGTGGATCTGCAAGCACGCCTTCGCTCTAAGTGCCTAGTGCTAATCAAGGGAAACAGAACAGAATTCCATTTATCTGAAGGAGGGTGGGGCGTTCCGACTGCCAAGGTGGCAGTCGCAGCTCCGGATCCAACAAAGTGGCCAGCAGCTCTTCGTTGCCTCATACCCATAATTGAACAACTGCTTCCCGAGCACCACGAAGCTAATTGGCAGAGAAGGCAAAGTGAGACCAGTTAGGGAACGTGCCCCAAGTCAGGAGGCAACCGCGTACGCTGATGGACACAAGGGATCCAAGGCAATGAGGTTTAAGCCTGCTTGAAAACCGTGCTCTGCAACAAAACGGAGTTACCGCAAACTGCTACCAGATTGACTTGACAAGTACTTCGGTCCGGAACCATCTGCCACAGAACCTGCTCAAGCGCATCTGATCGATCCAACCCGATTTCCCCTTCTCGTTTGGTCGCCGCACCATGCCGCGGATGGTGCGCCAGAGGATCTTGGAGGGGGAGCGGTAGTGGAGCGGACCCTGCTTGGGGTTGGAGTTCCTGGGCGAGAGTGAGACAAAAGTCCGAGGCAAAGTAAACCTATGCTGTTCAGCAAAGCTTGAAATTGCCTGTGGCTGGTACTGGGTACATTCTGCCGTCGAGGCCTAGGAAACTCAGTTCAATTTGGCCCATACCCTGGAACATGAGGTTTTCAGGCTTCTGACAGGTGTTCAAATCGTGCGATGTTGCAAAAGCATCGCATCCGTGTCACGGAGGTGATCACGGTTCAATCGCAGTTTTCTGAAGGCCAGCACGTCTATTCAGGTGTTCACTGAGAAAAGGGTCCAGGCGCAACAAATGTACTTGCACTCGCACATCGGGAAGAATAGGATGTGTTGCCCACGTCAGCTCGCAAGCAAGCAACTAGTGCCGTGTCTGAGCTCACGGTCCCCGTGCAGTTTGACGAACCCTTTGGTGTTGCCTGTCATTGGTCTGAAGTTCCAGAAACTGGGTCCAAAGTGTCTTCCTCGAAATGACCCCTCAGAAGCAAGATGTGTGAAATCATCTGAAATCCTCACACTGCCACCACTTCCAAGCCCAGAGAAAAATGGCGTGGGAGTCTGCCGAGGTGCATGTGCTTCCTCCTGAAGTTGGCATACTTCAGCTTGTTGCGGTACAGCGACCCCGAGATGTTGATGTCCTCCGCGCGGACGCACACCACGTGCCTCAGCCCAGCAGGTCCCAGGGAGGCATGCGCTTCGTCAGATGGTATTGGTCGTTTGGTGGTTTTGGTTTGGGCCTGCTTTCGTCAAAAGAGGGAGTTTTAGAGAATCTGGGCAAATTATATACCCTCCCACCGAAATTCCTGGAAGACCATTTTCCTTGTAAAGGGACCTGTCAGGTTACATGTTTGTTGGTGGGAGGGTAGTGCAATTCACAAGCCTGAAATAAGGAATCTTTAAGAGAGGGGGCGGGGTGGGAGGGGAGGGTGGGCAGCGGGGCGGTGCGGGGTGGGTGGGTGGTGAGTGGGAGCAACCCCTGCAACCAACCAGCGCAGCTGGCGATGGCGAAGCCCGAGGATACAAGGAAACGAGTCAAGCATCTTGTGTTGTAAGTTTTACCTGTTCATGAATGCCACACAAAGTGTTGGCACGTTGCAAAACAAATCTGACCCAACAGTCCTTAAGCTTGAACATATGATATTTGCAACATCATTGTTGCAGTGTGTGAACCTGCGCCCATTGAGCAAACATATCCTGACTGTGCAAGTCGACTAGGCAAGCAAGTAAACGTGGCCTATCGCATTTTGGAGACCTTAGCGCAGAGCTTGCCCTGGCCAGAAAAGCCACACAAGAAGCTCGCAATAGCATCGCAGGACAAGACATCCAGAATGAAAACGCTACAAACGTTCGGAATACTTGGAGCTAAAAACAACGGCAAGGGTTGCCTTGAAGTGAGGGCTTCAAGCAATCTACAAGCCAAACGCCTTCAAGGCCTTGGGTTGCTGAGGGGTTCCACCGTTTTGATCTTCACATGGTGCTGTTCCTGTGAGAAACTATGTCCCTCTCACGAATTTGACAACAGGAAGACAAGCCATACTCTGATCCTAAGGATCCAGGTCGTCAGTCCAGGAACGACACACCTCAATTCACACACACACACATGGTCCAAGCAAACGCAAATCCTCCTTGGAGCAGAGAATCACAGCCTCGAAATGTCAGACATCGCCCATCTCCCAAATGTATCTCAACCTGTCACACGGCCCATTGGCCCACGACAGCTCTACACGACCTGTGTCCCACTGATGGTCCAACCAGTGTTTGCAGAATTTTGGGAAGCGAGGCGCAGGTCCCGGAAAACTTGGGGCTGCCCCTTCTTTCCTGTACAAATACCCTTAGCTCGGGGGAACCACATGGCCAAATCGCCGGCGCCCCCGGAAAAAATCGCCCGCGTGCGTTCCGCGCGGCTGGCCGTTGAGCAGCTCCTTGGCCAGCACCGAGGCCAAGCCTCAGCTCGAACACCGGAGCACATGTCCAAAGTTGCTACCTGGTAGGGCATACCGAAAATTCCCATGTCCTGGAAGGCTGTCAATTGGTGCAACCCATTACACCGCTGCTGCCACGGAATCTCTCTCCCACTAACATGGCACCTGACAGGGGGTCCCTCCACGAGGAAACTGATCTTCCAGTTCCCTCAAAGACATGGAAGTTCGCACTATCCTTCCTTCCGACTGCCATCCAAACAGCAACTGCGGCATCATCTTCTTTGACTTCAGTCCACCTACGGCCAAGGGAAGTAGAAGTAACATAGACATCTGTACAGCAGCTCAAGAACGCGCCGGTGACGACTACCACAACAAATCGCCACACCCAGCCGCAGTCCACTTATTGTTTGCTGAACCGCCCTGAGACTTTCCATGGCTCAGCCATCTGGTATGAGGGTAAAACACCAAGATTCTGCAACACTGCATGTTCCACCAGTATTTGCATTTCAATCAAGCAACCAAAATTCAATGATTCGTGCCACACAGTTCACAGTACTCTTAAAACCAAAACGCGGCTTCCACTGCTGGGCAAATGGTCTACCTCCTCTGGTCCCATGAAAAGCTCACGCCCATTTGCGGAACCTGACGAGGAGTGGAAGCCAATCTGCTCACCAGGAAAACCAAAACTGGGCTGAGCAAAGGAGCCATGGGAGAACAACGTGCTCTGAACTAGTCGCTCTTGCTCTTCACAACGGCGCTGCTCTTGCTCGTGGCGTCGTCGCTCTTCGCTCAGTTACAGCTCAGTCGTTCTTCTTCCCGACGACGCTGCTCTTGCTCAAGGTGTTGATTGCCGACGACGCTGCTCTTGCTCAAGACGTTGTCGTTTTTGTTCTTGCTCAAGACGCTGTTCTTGTTTGTCCTGGGATGGTTGCTCTTCATGTTGTCGCGATTGCTGGTTTGCCCGTTCTTCCTTCTTCCTTCTCCATGTCGCGCCAGAACTGGTGCAGCCAAGCCCCACGGCCTAGCTTGGTCCCCACGTGTGGGCTGCCATTAAGCTTCATTCCAGAGACTTGTGCCCGTTGCATGTCCTTCGGCACACCAAGCCCCTGGCCCCGCCGGGCTCCTTGCCTTTCCGGCTCCGTTGGCTAGCTTCCCCATTCTTTGCCATGCCGCACTCTTGCTCAAATGTCTGGAGGGTCCTTGCCCTTGCTGGTGGACCAATTTTAACCTTTTCCAAGCGACCCTTCTCGAGCCTTGCCCGTTCGATCTTCTGTGCCATCGACCTCTGCCATGGCCCTTTGCACAGACACAACAGCTGAACACGCTTGAGCTAGTGATGCTGAGCTCATGGCATTGAAAGTCGTGGTGGATGAGCTGAGATTTGATCACAAATTGTATGGTTTCCCGGCTTTCCAACATGAAGGGTGCTCATGGTCAACGCGTTGAGGAGCCCAATTGGCACAACATGGCCTTCACTGGGTCTTCACTGATGCCTTTGTCCAAGGCCAATCCTTTCGCAAGGCCAAGCTTCACTTGCACTCGGTGGGTCGCTTCTGGGGTGAGTTTCTGCTGGGTCCCCAACTTCTGCATGATCTCTTCGTCCACCTTCTTCTCAACCCCACGGTTTTCCGTGTTCCTTATCATTCTCCTTCACCCTTCCATCCAGCAGCTTCTTCACCATTTCAACATCAAGAACGTGGGAAGCATCGGTGGCACCCATTTCTACAAAGCGATCACAACACCAGCAAACATCATGAACAAAAAGACAGCATATGGTCATGTAGGCCACTCAAACATTCTACAAAATCATTTCGCAAGCTCCGAGTGAGTAACATGTCGTGACTTTTCAGGTTGGACACCAACTTGTTGGCGGATATCATTGTCGAATGGGGAAATGCCGTTACCTGGAAACAGTCCAAACACCCCGCGGCCTTTTTTGCCACAGTGACACAAGCTTGCAGCTTGCAGGGATTTGCATAAGACTGTTGCGTCACGGTTTCCCAGAAGAGACATGGGAGACAAAAGGCACCAGTTTCTTGTAGTTGGTTCTAAAGGAAACCCTCCAGGCACAAGGTTTCCATGGCTCCTTTTGGCTGGCTCCCGCTCGCCTGGATTTCACACCAGTGGGAGACCCTTTCTCTCGGATCCGCGCGACCCAGCAAGTGGCCGCGGCAATCCACCACAATCTGCAGGATGGATGGAAGGCACAAATTTGGTTTGGGTTTCTTGTCAATATGTGAGGGACTCAGCGTCAGGCTGGTACTGTAGGGCCCTTTTGTTCTTCACGGAAAGCCTCTTTCAGAGGGGACTCCCAAGCAAAGCTCTAAGAGGTATGCCGCTGTTCCCAGTTTCCAAGAAGCCGCAGGCAAACTTGGACAAGCGTATGTCCATCTTGATTGAAGAGATGCGTTGAACTTGGGTTCAAAGACTGAAGAAAACTTTGCAAAGAAAACTCAAGCACAGTCAAGCAAGCGAAACGAGCTATGCAGTTAAAGCAGCTGTTGGCTTTGCCTTACACCAACAAGGACACCGTGGGTGCTTCACGGTCATCCTCGCGCAAAAGCCCTCCACACTCCACACTGTCCTTTGCACCAATGCAGCAATGTTGCACCCAGCCTGCTCCTTGAAGGACATTGCCAGCACCACAGCACCCCGATGACACGTGTCTACTTGAGCCGAGCCTTGCAGTTGCATTAACGCATAGTGCCGGCGGGCCTGTCTGAATCCTCATCACTTCGGCCAGAGACACTCTGCGCAAAACATCCGACACAAGCAGGGTTTTCCCTTCTGTTCATGGAATATGTTGCTTGGTTGCTCAAATTTGCTCAAGTCAAATTGTGGGGTGGTTGCCAAAGAGAACTGCTTGGGAATGCCTTTCCACTTGCCAATATGTCTTCTGTCCACGATACTTAGTGTGCAATCATGGGCGTAACGGCATGATGCGTTCGACCGAGCGGCGGGGAAAACGCAACACGATTCGTTTGCAGGGCTTGAGTTCAGAACAACTCTCCCAATGTTGCAACGGTGGAAGCAACACGTTCCTGCTCCTTACTAGCGATTTTACTGGCAACATAAGGGACAGTGGTTGTTGCATTGCTTTCTGTTTCAGCCATAACTCAAGCTTCGTTCATTCAAATTCATCCGGTCATACAAGTGCACCGCGAAGAGCATACGATGCCTTTGAACAAGAGGCAAGCCCGCAAGAGGAGAGTGGTCCCAGTTAAAGATGCACATACGATGATTAACCGTGGGTTGTATTTTAAAGCGACACACTCCAAACTAATTTCAAGCGTGCTGCTCTGCGCCCGGTTTTTTTTTTTCTCCGTCCTTGCTGCGCAAATGCCGCGAAGCGCACAGGTGCAGGGCCTGGCAAAGCGGAAGCAACGTCCGACGTGGTGAAAACCTCAGACATGCAACTAGTCCGCCGACCCCTTCTCCTCAAAGGGGAGGCGCACGGGAAGGGTGGTTGCAGTACAAGCGCATGGATTAATCTTTGAGGCAAGCATATGACTACTGGCATCATACGGATGCCCATCATCATCATCATCATCATCATTATCATCATCATCATCATCGATATGATCCTTCATCATTCTTATCGTCAACATCATCATCATCATTTCTACATCCTTCAACATCATCATCTCTTATTAGCCGGCACTGGTGATGCCGAGGATGTCATCATCATCTCTTATTAGGCAGCACTGGTGATGCAAAGGGTGTTATGATAGTTGTCATCATAATCATCATCATGATCATCCTTATTATGATGTCATCGCTCTTCTCATCATCATCAAGATGATCATCATCATCTCATTCTTATTCTTATTCTTATATGCATTTCAAAAGTAACGTTAGGCCCCATTGGCAATGCAGAGGATGCTACGATGATAGTTATCATCACAGTCCTCATCCTTATCACCACTATCATCATGGTCATCATCATCTCTTGTTAGCCGGCACTGATGATGCCGAGGATGCTACGATGATAGTTATCATCACAGTCCTCATCCTTGTCATCAGTATCATCACGGTCATCACCATCTCTTATTAGGCAGCACTGGTGATGCAAAGGGTGTTACGATGATAGTTATCATCATAATCATCATCATCCTTATTATGATGTCATCGCTCTTATCATCATCATCATGATGATCATCATCATCTCATTCTTGTTCTTATTCTTATATGCATTTCAAAAGTAACGTTAGACCCCATTGGCAATGCAGAGGATGCTACAACGATACTTATCATCACAGTCCTCATCCTCATCATCACTATCATCATGGTTATCATCATCTCTTATTACATAATCATCATCATGATCATCCTTATTCTGATGTCATCGCTCTTCTCATCATCATCATGATGATCATCATCATCTCATTCTTATTCTTATTCTTATATGCATTTCAAAAGTAACGTTAGACCCCATTGGCAATGCAGAGGATGCTACGATGATATCATCCTTATCATCACTATCATCATGGTCATCATCGTCTCTTGTTAGCCGGCACTGATGATGCCGAGGATGCTACGATGATAGTTATCATCACAGTCCTCATCCTTGTCATCAGTATCATCACGGTCATCACCATCTCTTATCAGATGACTATGATGACAATCATCGTGAAGATGATAAGGATGATGACTCTTATGATAACTGTCATCGTAGCATCCTCTGCATTACCAAAGCTGCGGATGACTGTCATGATAACTATCATCGTAGCATCCTCTGCATTACCAAGGATGCCTAACGCCACATTTGAAGAAAGATAGATCATCATCATCATCATCTGTTTCTTCTATCTTTCTTCTATATACATTTCAATCGTGGCGTTAGGCACCCTTGGTAATGCAGAGGATGCTACGATGATAGTTATCATGACATCTCTTGGCTCCAGCTTGAGCAAATCCCTCAATGAAATCATACATGACAAACACACACTTTTAACCAGCCTGAGCAAACAAATAATAATAAAATAATAACTTCATTTTTCAAATGTGGCGTCAGGAACCTTTGGTAATGCAGAAGATGCTACGATGATAGTTATCATAAGAGTCATCATCCTTATCATCTTCATGATGATTGTCATCATGGTCGTCGCCTTCACCATTGTCATCATGATCATCATCATCATCTCTTTCTTCTATCTTTCTTCTATATACATTTCAAATGTGGCGTTAGGCACCCTTGGTAATGCAGAGAATGCTACGATGATAGTTATCATGACAGTCATCCGCAGCTTTGGTAATGCAGAGGATGCTACGATGATAGTTATCACAAGAGTCATCATCCTTATCATCTTCATGATGATCGCCTGCCTCATCGTCATCATCATTGTCATCATCAATTGTCACATCATCTCTTCTTCTATCTTTCTTCGAAACTTCTATCTACATTTCAATTATGGCATCAGGCATCCTTGGTAATGCAGAGGATGCTACGATGATAGTTATCATGACAGTCATCCACAGCTTTGGTAATGCAGAGGATGTTACGATGATAGTTATCATAAGAGTCATCATCAACATGATTGTCATCATCATCTCTTTGTTCTATCTTTCTTCAAAATACAAAGATGAGGTATATCATCGTAGCATCCTCGGCATCATCAGTGCCGGCTACAAAAGATGATGATGACCATGATGATAGTGATGATAATGATGCGGACTGTGATGATTCCTATCATCGTAGCATCCTCTGCATTGCCAATGGGGTCTAACGTTACTTTTGAAATGCATATAAGAATAAGAATAAGAATGAGATGATGATGATCATCATGATGATGATGAGAAGAGCGATGACATCATAATAAGGATGATCATGATGATGATTATGATGATAACTATCATCATAACACCCTTTGCATCACCAGTGCTGCCTAATAAGGCATCACCAGTGCCGGCTAATAAGAGATGATGATAACCATGATGATAGTGATGATGAGGATGAAATGCATATAAGAATAAGAACAAGAATGAGATGATGATGATCATCATGATGATGATGAGAAGAGCGATGACATCAGAATAAGGATGAAAGAATAGAAGGAAGAGATGATGATGATGATGATGATGACAAGCATGCAGCATGATGACGATGATGACGGCGATGACTATGATGACAATCATCATGAAGATGATAAGGATGATGACTACTATCATCGTAGCATCCTCTGCATTACCAAAGCTGCGGATGGAATGGGCCAAAACCTGCGGCTTCCTGGTGGTTTGATTTTGGCCCATACCCATATACCGTGGAAGGATCAAATCCTGCACCGCCCAAGAAACCCAATCCACCTGAGCTTCGGGATCGGAGTTCGGATTGCGCGCCCAACGGCGCCCAACTAAAAAGCCGAAGAGGTGGACAACTCTCCGCTGTGACTTGCCCCCCCCCAATTCACCTCAAAGTCGGGGTCACCATGCTCGGCACATATTGCCTCGAACCCCCCCAGAGAAAAAATGAGCTGGCCCACAACCGCAGCAAAACGGCTCCATGAAGCCAGTAATTCAACCCCAAAGTGAAAGATCCGCCCTTCCAGCAGTTTCTCTTCCAAAACATGCCCGAGTTTGCGTTCCCATCGGACCATCGGAGCACTGCCTATCATCGTAGCATCCTCTGCATTACCAAGGGTGCATTTCAAATGTATATAGAAGAAAGATAGAAGAAAATCATGATGACGATGATGAAGGCGATGACTAGGATGACAATCATCATGAAGATGATAAGGATGATGACTCTTAGAACTGACTGTCATGATAACTATCATCGTAGCATCCTCTGCATTACCAAGGATGCCTAATACCGCATTTGAAATGATAGAAGAATATCATGATGACGATGATGAAGGCGATGACTATGATGACAATCATCATGAAGATGATGAGGATGATGACTCTTATGATAACTATCATCGTAGCATTTTTTGCATTACCAAAGCTGCGGATGACTGTCATGATCACTATCATCGTAGCATCCTCTGCATTACCAAGGGTGCCTAGCGATGATCATGACTACGCATCACTATCGAAACGGCACCTCGCCTCAGATGCCATTTGTGTCATTGAGATTTGGAGTCCTGCCTTGATGATAATCATCACTACGCATCATTCGCAGCATCTCTGGCAATCATGAGGATAATCATCACTACGCATCCCCAGCATCTCCAGCAGCGATGATCATAATCATGACTACGCATCACTGTCGAACGGCACCGCGCCTCAGATGCCATTTGGGTCAAAAAGAAACCAAAGAAACCAAAACCAAGGGCACTGTTTTTGGTTGCTCGAAAACCACAACTAAATCCAGGGGTCGGCGGCACTGGGCGGCAGCCCTTAAAATATATGTCCAGTGGAAGAAAAGACACAAGTGAGACAAGACAGCTTGGTTTGAACAGTTGGTGAGGTATCCATGCGCCGTCCCTAAACACTCCTCTGGTGCTGATACTGTGTCTAAACTCATGTTGCTCCGAGCACACGACGCTGCATTTCTGGAAAAGCCATATATTATATGGGGCTGGGTCTTTGCGCAGTTGGTTCTTCTTGTTTGGATTGACCAGCCGATACAATCTTTCCTGAAAACAAACAAAATCGGTCATTCAGACAGGTTGTTGCTTTCTTAACTCAGGTCACTTGCGCAGGTCAGTGTTCTCGGCCACCGGGGCGGCGTGTTTTGCGCGCAGGCTGGCTGCACCTTTTCTCCGTGGCAAATGTGGCTCAGTACTTCCGGAACGCGGGCTTGGCCCATGCCTGAAGTAGACGTAGAATACAATCTGGGCGCAGCGCTGCGCCGGACACGCTGGATGCCTGAATCTCGGCGTGCCACAGCTTCACTGACACATAAAGAGCTGAGGTCATGCGGCAATTCGAGGAACCTAGGTCACCCAAACCAGAAAAAAGAGCTCATTTACCCAGTTCCATGGCTTGTCTCAGGAAATGCTTGGCTTCACGGTTTCCCTCCAACAAACCGAAAGGGGAGCCACGGATTTCTTGGACTCCCATCTGCCAAGAATGGCACAACGTGCAAAGCGTGCCGCCGGGAAAGGCATCCAAGCGTCGCCGCCCGAGCGGCTTCACTCGGAAAAGAAAGTTTTTTTTGCGCGCCGCCTGGCCAGCTTCCATGCCCAAAGCGGCCCGGCTTGACTCAAGCCGCAGTGACCCTGCGGTTCTCGGAACGTCATACACAAATCTAGAACAGCCCTGGGCGTTCATTGCCGATGTCCTGTCAATCATGGATCTGGTTGTTGCCATCAGGGTGACTCTGGTCGACTGGAACGGGAAGAAATCGTCTCGTGTCTCCAGTCTCCATGCAACAGAGCACGGAACGAGCTGAAAAGACACGCAGGCACGGTGAGATTTGGCTCCCAGAGCCTCGGAACTGCAGCGGTCTGCAGACTGGAAGCGATGCGTGGAGCTTCGCTCGATTTCAGGGCGAGGCGACGGGTTCCGAAGACTTCCGGTGCAAAGCGATCCCAAGCCTTTCTTGAAACTCGAGGAACGAAGTGGTTCTTCAGTCTAAAGCCCTCCGCCGAGTTTTCCACGAGACACCCATTTCACTTCGAACGCATCATTCCCATGTGCTTTCAACTTCCATATCGACAAGGGATCATAGGATAACTGGAAGTCCACTGTACATCGAGCCGTCTCCAGCCCAAACCGGCTGGATTCGACTCGGAACGCCGGGACAGGTCCGAGGGGCATGTCTTACGAAAGATTGCAGTTGTGTCGCTTGCAATTGCACGCGTCACACCACAGGACCTCCCCCGACCTTTGCTCAAACAGCCGGCTCGGCCGCCAGCTACATTACATTGAGCAATTCAGCCAGCAGTTCGTTCCATATGGTACAAATGTCTTCCTGTTGGCATCTTACTGCACAACCTCGCTATGACATTCCTCTTTGCTATGTATCTCTGCTGGATCTCACTGTGCAATCCCTCTACAGCACTCCTTGGCGCAATCTCTCTGCACCATCCCTGCGTGTAATATGTCTTTCTGCAATCTCTTCGGCGATCTCGTGACATATCCCTATGACACACAGCGCGATCTCTTGATGACATCTCTAGAACAATCTCTCTATGACATTCCTCTCTGCAATTTCGCGGCGCTATGTCTCCGTGCGATCTCTTAAGCGATGTTGCCGGAAGAACCCTTCATTTGCGTTCGGGAACGCTGCAAAGACACGATAGCACATGTTCACAAAGAGAAGTCCATCACATGTGCTTGCCTTTACCACATGGGCACCACAAAGCAACAAAGTTTCACGTGTGCTTGTCCGAAACTTGGCTTGTAGGAAAATTAACTTTGGAGCTCGCTTTATTCGGAGGTTCTATACCCGGAACTGCTGGCCGCTCGCCCACTCCGATTCACCTGGCATCTGCCAGTCCGGCCACGGGGGGACTTCAGGGGCGCAGAGATCTCGACGCGCAAAGGATGCAGTGCACAGAACCCTTCTTTGAGACTGCCTTGTTGGAAAGTAATGTGGCTGCGGGTCAAAACCAATGGTACCATTTGGGGTAGGTGCACCACCCATTCTAGTCTATTTGAGTGGGGATTGGGATGTTCACTGGAGGTACGGAATTTTGATGGCCATGTGAACTTCAATGTTGGTCGGAGGATAATTCGAAAGCCATGATGTCATATTAACTTTGCAAAGTCTCCTCATGACCATTGAGTTACTCTTTCAACGAAAAGCAGTGCAATGGTCTCGAATGACCGAGGGCTGCTCCGAATAGAAAAAGATGATTTGTTCGAGGAAATGTATAGGAACACCCCCTCCCCCCAAGCAGGTGGCATGCAGTTATACAGCCCCCAAGCAAAAAAAAATCGGAGTCTGGCTGAGTATGGTTCAGTCCCTTACTGCATGCAATACGTGTTAGTCAATAAGTCCGGAGCAATTCTCCATCCTCCAAACTGAACCAGTACAACGGTTGTGTGGCTTAGACGTTTGTCTACAGCCAATCAAACCATGAATTGCTTCTCATGGATGGCATGCTATGCAAAAGCCTCTGAATATAATGCCCTCCGCTATTCTCAACCAAGCGATCCTCAACCCACTGATTGCTCATGTTTGCCTCCAGACCCTAAACGGGTTCCGAACAATGGTTTCCTTCTTGCGCGTATCGCTTTCCTCAGAAGCCCCGGGACCGCAAGGGAAAAGATGGATTCGGGATGCGAAAGCCAGAGCTCGGCGGCTTGTGACCCTTCTGCTTCAACGGATTTTGTCTTTCTTCGTTGGGATATCTAGTTTGGCGAGAGGCAAAATAGGATCAAGGATTAGGCGGTGTGGCTTGGGCTTCGCGCCCGAGCTTCGTGGCTGTCGAGTCTACCTCCTGGGTTGTTCCTCGGCCAGCTGTTTGTTGAAAGATCCCGTCAAAACTAATTACTGTGAGACAAACCAGGCATCCCTCTCTTTGCTGAAGAGGACAACCCATCAAGTTGATCCGCTCATAAAGGTTCACCGATTTGCCCCGGCAGCGTGAAACCCTTCTCTTTCAGGCGCTTGTTCATGTTCCTCATAGCAGCGTGCTCTTGGGACAGCCAGCAGGCGGTCTGCGATCTCGCCAGACTCCTGCCAACTTCTCCGCCCATGTCTGAACATGCGAAGGCTTCGCTTTTTGGAGCCGCGATAGCAAGGGACCAGCTAACCTTTTGGAGCTGTGGACCAAAACTGGCCAGCCAGTTTCGAACAAAGGCCATGGGAGCAAATGCGGAAATTCATGAAGTGCTAAAACCTCTACCTCAGCGATCACCAACCGGAGTCTTCAATTCCGGTCCATACCTTCATCTTAACAAAAGGCAACATCCGTTTAAACGCGATCCCAGCGCAAGGAATGGTGAATTCAGATCTGCAACCCGTGTTCACACCCGAGATCAAAGTTTTGGGCAAATCCACAAAGAGGCTCTGGCCAACTCAGAAAGACAAACATGAACCCTTACCTCTTCTCCGCAACATGGAGGCGGGAAACCTGTTTCAGACGCTGGCAGTCCAAAGCCAAGCTGTCATACATGATTGGAGGGAAGGAATGCCCGACTGGGCCAGGGTGAAAGCTACTCAAAATCAGTCAGACTGTGTCATAGCACGACCACATCCATGGGCGAGATTGACTACGAGTGCCAGCTGTCACATCCCCAACGCGAGAACATCACGATTACTGTTGACAAACTCTTACTAACTACATTGCTTACCATCATAGGGGGTTGCTGAATTAAATGAATCATCCGATTGTCCTGTCGTGAGGGCAACTGCAGCCGCTCGGCAGCCAAATAGTTCTATCGTACGACTTGGTAGTGGGTTCAAACAGCTGCTGCACCCCATTACTTCTTTCCATAGTATCAATCAGGTTGCCCTGTGACCGATGCTGACTCCTATTGGTGATGCTGAGCAGTGGAAGCTTGGCTATTGCTGCCGTCGGCTTGGCTCTTACAAACATCGCCAGCATAGGTTGCTTTACTTCCGCCAATGCATCGTCTCCCCCGATCCTGCTCTGATCCACGCTGCAAAATCAGAAAGGTTAAAGGAACAGCCGCCCCAGAAACAAACACAACTCTAGTCAAATCTCACTGGCCCAACAAACTCGCACCGCGTCCGCTGCTCGTATCTGCCTGTTGCCCGTGTTCGCCCTGTTGCTCCTCGTTGGCATGGGCTCCGGCTCTCTGAAGCCGCGTTCGGAGATGTAGATCTGCCTCAGTTCAACAGACGGACGCAACCAAGTCATCCAACGCACACATTGCCAAATTGCTGTGTCTGGCTGTGTATCTCAAAACTGCACAAACATAATTGCTTCTCAATCGCATGCGCACACTTATGTGTGTTATTGTATGCTATGTGTATATCATACAAATATACTGCTTGACATCTTCAATACAACTGATTGTTCTAGCAAGCAGCACAGGCTCGGAATGGCACTGAAAGCCAAACTCTTGTCCTGACTTCCTGCCCCTTTGACTGGTACTCCGAGATGTAATTAACATGTTCCACTCTGTGCCGTGGATAAACATGGAAGATCGGCATCTCCCAAGGGTCCAAGAACTCATCAACAGCCCCAAACCCATCCGTGGTCCACAAATTCAGAAAACGCTCCAATGGGACGCTTGCCCGCGCAAGGATTCCTGCTCAGCCAAGCCGCGCGTCCGGCGCGGAGGGCGGCCTCACAAACTTGGGGCTGCACGGGGGCTCTACATCCACGCGGAGGCACGCGGGGCGCTCATCCTCGAGAGGATGCTCACCTCAGCTTGAGCCTACTGTGTGTTTCCGTTTGTGTGGGTGTGTTTTCCTGGTTGTGTAGTTGCTTGGCTGCAAGCTTGTGTGTTGGCGTTCTTGCATGTTTGCATGTTTGCGTGTTTGCCTGCGTGCGTGCGCGCCTGCGTGCGTGCTTGCGTGCCTGCGTGCCTGCGTGCGTGCGTGCCTGCGTGCCTGCGTGCCTGCGTGCGTGCGTGCCTGTGCCTGCCTGCGTGCCTGCGTGCCTGCGTGCGTGCGTGCGTGCGGGCGGGCGGGCGGGCGGGCGGGCGGGCAAGCGGGCAAGCGGGCAAGCGGGCAAGCGGGCCAGCGGGCAAGCGGGCAAGCGGGCAAGCGGGCAAGCGGGCAAGCGGCGGGCGGGCGGGCGGGCGGGCGGGCGGGCGGGCGGGCGGGCGGGCGGGCGGGCGGGCGGGCGGGCGGGCGGGCGGCGGGCGGGCGGGCGGGCGGGCGGGGCGGGCGGGCGGGGCGGGCGGGCGGGCGGGCGGGCGGGCTGGCGGGCGGGCGGGCGGGCGGGCGGGCGGGCGGGCGGCGGGCGGGCGGGGCGGGCGGGCGGGCGGGCGGGCGGGCGGGCGGGCGGGCGGGCGGGCGGGCGGGCGGGCGGGCGGGCGGGCGGGCGGGCGGGCGGTGCCTTTGCCTCTGTCTCCGTCTCTGCCCGTCTTTTTGTTTTTTTTGTCTGTCTCTGTCTGTATCCGCCTGTCTTTGCATGATGCGCGTGTAGGCGTGTCTCACAAGCTTGAAGTACGTGTTGTTTACACCAAGATGATGCTGCGTTTGAGTCAAGGAATAGATGACTCTTGGAGGTGGTAGTGAAGCCGGGTAAGATTTGCTCATGCCTGCCATTTAAGCTGCAAGTTCTATGATCCACTTGAGCTCGCAAAGCTGGCGCGAGCTAAGATCCCAACTGATGTAGTAGGTGGTCTCTAGGTCGTCCTGCACGAACCAGCTGGCATCTTCCGCAGTTCTGGTCATCGTCGCCAGCTCTGGCCTCTTCTTCTTGGGAGGCCGGGCAGGCAACCTTGCAAGGGCGACTGGCCGCAGACATCTGGATAGAATGATCCTGCTGCTGGGTTGGGCCAGGTTCGCCTCTGTGAAGTTTCCTCTATAGTATCTCAGTAGAAGCGCCCCTTTTCAAGAGGAGTCTTGTGTTACAAGCCCAGATTCATCAAGCCGTCTCCTCTTTCCGGCATGCCATTTTACACTGCTAAATTGCAGCGCTTCGCTCCCTCTTTGCAAATCGCGGGACCTCGTTTGGGTTTCCCGCCCAAACCAATGCAACAAGCAAACGCACAGACTAAGGTTGCCCAGCCAAATGAGGACATACACACAATTCTTATAAGTCCTTTTCGTTTCCATGGAAGAGTCAAGCCTCGTTATTTCTGCGGCAAAGCGGCACTGCTCGAGGCTGCAACAAGCAGAAGTTTTGCCTGTTATGCCTGGCTTCGTGGCAAAATGATCTGAGCCCAATAGAAGGCATCTGTTGTTTGCTGACAAGCCACGATGATCAACCGAATGGGGAATGTCAATTGTCTGAGGACTCAATTAGTGGCCCGCCTCTTTAATTGTTTCTGACTGTTGGCTCGAATTCTGGCACGCAAACGCCATCTTTTGCTACTCCCCAAGTTCCATACCCCCCCCCGTTCGCGCACACCGCATGCCATTGATCCACGGAATCCCATGCAGCATGCATGCACCCCCCGCAGTAGCTGTGGACAGGATGGAGCGTAGTTTCCCTCAGTAAAACAGACAAATCACAACCCGAAGTCACGCACATGTGGGAAATAAGCCGAAGCAAGAAATTTCCATCCCGCCCTCACTTTAAAGGTGATGCCCCGGGTATCGAACTTGAAAACCCTTTGTTGTCCAGTGCAAAACCAGGGCGCGCCCCCTGGATCTTGCGGTTCCCATTGATTTTCTTCCAGTGCTCGTCCACGTGGCCGAGGTTGCGCTCCACGTCAAAGCCTAGAGTCTGGGCCCTTTGCCGTGGAGCTGGGAAAAATGGGCAAGTCTTGAAATGACCAACTCATGGGCACTTTCCCCTTTGGAACTTTGATTGAACCCCAAGGTAGCTCCAAAAAACGTAGCTGGAGTCTAGCTGCCCCGTCAAGTTGGGTGCCAAAGGCTTCCCTTTCCCTCGGGCCAAGACTGTCCTTGGCCAAGCGGGTTTGCCTTCAAACGAGACGTGCAATGGTTGATGTCTGTTCGGTTTACCGTTACAACCAGCCAAAAAGGGGCTTTCGAGGAAACGACACACCCGAGTCTGCTTTTAGGCACAATGTGGAGATTTCGACAACACTGACGCAAGTCAAAGAGCAGAATCCAATTCTGCCCTTGTGACACAATTGGGCACAAATTGCGCTCGAGCGCTGCCTTCCGTAAATGGAGCATGGGGGGCAGGCAGCAAATACAGAGCCTACTCTGGAATTGAGAAGCTGTGCGTTGCCCGTTTTGCAAAGCCAAATGCACGTCTTGGACATGTTCTCTGGGTCTCAAGGCCAACTTCTTGCGGTCAAGCGCGGCAAACATCGCCGCTTTGAGTCCTACAGTGGCTCGTGCGGTTGCTGCCCAAGGCCCTGAGCCTAAAATGCACATCGTTCTGAGGGTGTTTGTATTACACCCTGGGACTACAATGTTTGGGAAAGGACCCAGAATGGTTCAAAATGACACGGGTTCAATAAGTGGTACCCAGTGGGTGTATTCCCAGGGAGTAATACTTAGAATCAAGGGCAGGACTCTCCATGCGTAAGGCAATCGAAAGCTGGCAGTTTGGCTTTCGCACGCTCCGTCGCTGAGTCGACTTCATGGCCCACCTCTGTAAGTATGCCAGTTGGTACCTCGCTCCGGATTGAATGAATCCGCATGTAAGTTGTTCAAGCAACAAATGTCCAGGCTAATACTTCTTTGAGGTCGGTTCCCAAGCCCTAAAGGACAACCACCAACACTACCAATCAGTGAACATGCTCCTTGCATCACGCGAACACAACTTCTAAGCTTTGGGGAATCTAAAGCGAGGAGCTCACCCAGCGTCAGTTTTTCGCCAGCCACCATCCCGCACCAACATGGATCCCCAACGGTAGCAAATGTATCCATCTTCTGGCCCCATTATTTTACAATCATCAAAGTCACCCCCCAGTAGGTTAAAAGGAAACCACCCGAGTTTCCGACTTTGATGACCCCCAGTGGTCCAAATAATGAACCCAGATCTTAGAAGACACTTCTTGGCTTTTTTCGTACGCCGGGAGGGAACACAAGATGAGCAAAAAGCCAAGAGCCAAGAGCTGAGGTCCCCGCCTGGCCCTTCAGAAATCGGATGGAGAGCCTAACGGCGCAAGCCGAGCCGTAAATCCCGAAAAACCCGCCAGAAGGGCGACTGCCTTGTGGGCGGTTGGTAGGCAAAAGAAGTCCTTTCCCGGTTGAAAGGGGATCTAAACAAAAACAAAACGGCATAAATGAATAAAGAGGTCAGCTTCTGGCAATGATCCAAACTGGCAGTCTGCAGTGGAAGTGGAACTTTATGAAATACAGTGTAAAGACACACACACATATATTATAAGTCCAAGGCAGTCGTGCAAGCACCACACAAAAGCTGTGGAAGAAACACCAGCGGTCAAAGCCTGGGCACTAATTCTCTATGCAAGGTCATGGATCACAAGCCCCTTGGTCTAGCAGGGAGAACTATGATGGGTTGGTACCTCAGGAAGGTTTGGGAAGAGTCATGGAGCCTGGAATTCCATTGACTGAAAGCCGTTTTCTTTCCAACAGATCCAACATAGGTAAATGCAAACCCGGCCTGGAAATCCATCCATGAAGCTTCGGGTACGTAGGCAGGCGCAAAGGGAAAAGGTGCAAAGGAATTTGCATGTGCGAAAGTGGAACCCAGAAAAGTGAGGAATTTATCTGGGCACCTGTTTGGTTCTGCTCGCTACCCCAGCCTGCAGCGTATCCCGCCTCAAATGTATATGAAGTTAGTTTTTGCTTTTTCTAAATGAAGGCTGGCTGCACAATAGCCCTTCTCATCAACCTTTCGAAGCCAATCAAACAAACCAAATGAGGGCTACCGGATTCAATACTACTAATCGGCATCTGGCTTGGGTGAGGCACCAGCGTTCTATAAGCCTGGGAAATTTCAGCATGCCAGGGCGCTGAGTGCACAGCGGCCTTCACAGCGCCAGCTCCCATGGTGCTCAACAGCTGGTGCTGGTGCTGTAGAGTTATTCTAGGTCCTCCAGTGCTGTATAGTACAGAGCTTAGAAGGGTACCCTTTGGGGATGTGGGTGGGTGGGTGGGGATAGGTCCTTCCGTATCCTCCAGTAGAGAGGTTAGAATAAGGGGACTGAGTTCTGGAAGCATTGTGGCGAAGTGCTAAGGGTCTAAGTTTGCGCGGCGTTGTATCTGTCAAAAGGCCATACCTGCACTGCCAACATGTGAACGTTCTCATTTCAACAAACTGTCTGCCGGGATGCCAGGATTCCTTTTGCGTGACTTCAAGTTGGCCGAGCAACAAACATGGTAACGAGACCTCTGTGAAAGCTTCAGGGCTTCTCCGTCTCACTGCAAAGTAGCTCAGTGATCCCGTACTAAAACTTTGTTTTTGCTTTAGTGGGACTCTAGCCGCTAGCCACTAAAGACCTGAATGGCCGAAAACCGCCGAGCCAAGATGCACTTCTCTATAATCTGGGCCGCTCGCGGCGAAACGCGAAACGTCACCCAGTCACTTGCAAGGTTTCTGGTGAACAGGATCTCGATACGTGAGGGGCTTTAGTCCGACAAGCTCCAATTCGCGTTGTGATCACCACCCAGGGGATGAGTTCGTCAAGGCTAAGCCTTCACCATTTGAGGCCTGAACGAAGAGACACATATACCGGCCCGGCATTGCAGCAAGAACCCATGACAGAATGTCGTGCATCATGTATTGGGCCTGTATTGAGTGTATCCTGTCCTTCACACTCATGTGTGCGATAATATGGGTGATATCCAGAGCCAAAAGCGTGCAAGGCATGCTTGGTGTGCCGGGTGTACCCAAATAGGATCCAAAATGCCGAATTAATCCCATTTGGGACTCTTTGACAAGAGGTGGAAAACGGCAATTGAAAGCAAGCACTGCGCGGCTGCAAGTGCCTTGCTTCCTCTCGGTGTGCTCACCTGGGCGTGACAGAGACGAGGCTGGCCTTGTCTGGAGAGTGGAATGGCTATAGCCCAAAAACGTGTGTGCATGCCATGATCTTCCACCATTTCAAACTCTGGGGCAGGTCCTGGAAGCTAAATTCATGCCTCTCTCACTAGGGCAGCCGAGCCACTCAAAGACGGGGCAGACTCCAATCAGCAGTACAACAACATACTGAACTTACTTTGCAGGAAACGCATCCCATTTGTAAAGGCCAGTGGACACATAGACAACGACGCCATCCGCTTGTGACCTCCGAGGAATGGCCCGCTGAGTCGTGCGCTTTGCGAAGATGACGGAGGCCACTTGCCTGAACCATGCGCTCGATCAGAGGCAACTGGAGTGTGGGGTAGCATTAAATGCCTAGCACAAGCCAGCAAGAGGCGACAGCAAGCAGCAATGAAAGCAAGCTGCAAGCAAGAAACAAACATGCTCCGCGTGTGCTCAAGCAGCATTGTTGCGTGTACCCACAGAGTGATGATCTTGCCATTTCTGTCAAGCTCACAAATTTGCACGACTGCCAGTCGCCAAAGGGCCACGTAATTCGCCCCAGTTGCCAACGTCTAAAAGCGCAAGTGCTGACTCCGAACCCCAAACTCTCCAGAGGATGTGACCCACGATTTGGGGCAGCGTTGCTGCCCCCAAAGGGTAACACGCAAGCCAACGTCCAATCGGTCATTTTATGCACTTTTTGGGGTTGTGTCGCTCAAGTCTTGGGGATCCATCCGTGCCACACAAGCCCGCAAAAAACAAGCAGCCAGCAAACAGACAAAACCCAACCAGCAAACAACCAAAAATCAGCCAGCAAAATATCGAAAGCAACCAGCAACGCGCCTTGGCAGCGCGCAGCAGCCGCGGCATCCCCGGGTGTGGGCCTTCCAGCGCAGCCACCGCCGCCGCTGTGGGCTGCTGAGGCAGCAGCGCCGTGGCCTGGCCCAAGGCGAAGGAACCCCTTTTACCATAGGGGGCCTTTTGGAAAAACCGATGGCCCTGGCAAATGGAAGAAACCCCATGTAAGCCAGGGCCCTCTATTTTTTAAGCAAACCAAAAAGGACACCTATGCCTTTTACTTGAATGTCCGTGGTGTGATGCGACGCTCGGCAAAATGTTTTGACAGTGCCTGCTTCTGGCTGCCCCGACTTTCCACTGCACTCCATTTCTCCAGTTCCCGGCAGGCCCCAGTGACCCAGTAGCTTCACACTCAGAGACTCAACTTTGGCCTGTGGCCAAGCCTTCTGACGTACAAGTGCGTATGAAAAGGCTGCTTTATTTGGTTTCTGTTGACCCCTTTGCAAAAAGTTTAACTTTCTGTTGGTTTAGCGGAAAACCCCTTGATTTCCCAAAAAATGTGAAAGTCTAAAGATCCAACCCACTAGCACTCAAGCTTAGCGGGATGAGGTTTTTACTGGGCTGACGATTGTATTTCGGCCGCCATCCAACCCAAACAAATGAAGGAACAAATTGGTGCCACTGAACACCTGGGAATGGGATCCTTGGGGATGGTGGACGTCATTCAGGTGATATATTTGTCCAACCACTTGGGCCACCTGAAAAGGGATTCCTCAGTGAAATTCATGGCCAAATGACTCCAGTGATCCTGTTGCGGAACCACCTTTTGCAACTCTTAGTCCCCCCCTTCAAAGGGAAAAAGGAAACTCACTACCCTCTCTCCCACTAACATAGCACCTGTTGGAGGTACCTGGAAGACAATTTGCTCCTGAAGGGACCCTCTGTGAGGTGCCATGTTAGTTGGAGGGAGGGGATATGATATCTCACTTTGAGGCCTTGCTACAACCATAAAAACACCTCCTAAAAATCGAGAATGCAGGGGTTTGGTCGCTGCACACTTGCTTCCCAAACAACATTGGAACATTGGGCCCACAACAAATTGTGCGCCCCCTTATGAATAGACTAGAAGTAATCTTGCCAGTTACTCGAATGGGGTTGTTCCAAGTTGACACCCCACAATGTTCCCGTTCCTGCTAAGATAACGCAGAGAAGAGTAACGGTGCCCTCCAAGAAGTAGACAGGATCGGCTGCGCTTGAGGGCTGTCCTTTTGGGGTTGACAGAGAAACCTCAGAGAACACCCTCAGGAAGTGGATTTTAAGGAATGCTCGAAGAGGCGTCTGGCGACACGTCTCGCAAGTCTGGGGGCGGTTTTGACACGATTCCGAATATATCAAAGCTCCCCTTGACGAGTTCCTTGGTACCAGCTGCGTCCTGGATTCACCACCTGGTTGAGCTGTTTCATTCGTATCAATGATCAAATGCTGATTGCCGCGGCTGTCTGGAGAGAAAGAACAACTGCAAAGAAAAAGACTCTTGCCCAAAAGAATCCCATGTCTCTATGATTCGGGAATATCAACTATACACAAGGTAGACATGGATAAAACTGTTGATCGAAGCACCCCTTCGCCTGCTGCCAGAGGCTACCTTTGCCACACTCTGCCAGCACGACGTCCATCGCGGCCACCTTTTTGATGCCAAACGTGCGACATGGTTTTGCTATACGGAAATCGAAAAGAAGCACGCATTTTCGGGGCAATTGCCTTATCTTGACACACACACACACAAACACACGTATCATGGCAAGCGGAGTACCCCCAATTCATACCCTTTCAAAATTCCAACCTCCTGACGCATATAAATTCTCAAACCATCAACTGCGGAACGGCACGTCTGTACGCACCCGGCGCCGCCGATGTCGGCAGTTCATCCAATGCATGGGCGAGTCGCTTCACCAGAAAAGAACAGTCGCTACCCGGAAGCTTACACGCCAGTGTGCCATACCGGTGCTTTTAATTTTGAATAGATATCCGTTAAATTTAAAGCCATATTGGCGATCTGTCACAAACAAGAACTCCGAATGCTGGGGGCTTCCGTGTTCTCGCTCAAAACATGCGATTGGATCTCGTCAGACCTGCATCGCCAACATGTTGAGATGTCACCCGACAACACAACCAAAGAAGCGAATCAAGGGGCAGGGTTCAACCCCATCCCTTTAAATGCTTAAAGCATTGCTGAACAACAGACATGATTTTACAAGGAAGGCCATTTCAACCCATGTCCCATTATTCCGGAAGCTCCATCTCCAAACCAGTCGCCCAGCATCCAAGCTGCAATTGTAGAAACAAGACGGCCGCATGAAATTTGAATATGCTTTCAGAAATTTGTGGCCACATTCGCAACGGCAGGACGTTATGACCGACCGACCGACCAAACCAACCGCCCAACCTGTTCCCTTCCCACCCGCAACCTCCGGCCGCAGACGCCGCTGCTTCGCCAGCGGGCCCAGCAGGTGCAGCGCTTTGGCCCAGCGCAGCTTCAGCGCCGCAGCCCCCAACGCCGCCTGCGAAGCGAAAAGCTCCCGTCTCGAGGAGCCAAACCCACAGCTCGGGCTCCGCAAAAGATGCACCCTCATTCAATTTCATATGTGCTCTTTGTGCATCAAGTTTTACATATCCTCCCCAGAAACCGGTAGTAGAACCGGCCAACGGAGCCGTGGGCGCTGCTCAAGCGGGTCATTTCCTGAAACCGTAGTGGGAAGTGACTGAAAATGGAAAAACAAAAACAAAAAACATAGAAGCTAACCATTCAATCGTGACCCTGGTGACACGTGAACCAGTTCGGGGGATTATTCAGAACCAAGGGGCGTGCCTCAAACCCTGCGACCCCATCAGCGAGAGGGAAACTGGGCCAGAAGCTGCGTCCAAGGCTCTGTGATTGTGAGGAGCCAGAGAGGTGGACAAAGGTATTGAATCAGTTAGTCTGCAACTCATTCAGCACCTGCGGAACTTTGCTACAAACTCGTCGCTTCACAATAAGGTGACCAGGATTCACAGCTTCAACCTGGCTTGTCCAACTACGATGTCTGACGATCGTCTTTCGTTCGCACAAACAGACCAGGCCAGGTGTGGCCAATAGAGCAACTACCATCAGCAAGATTGCTGATACAAACACGATAGCAAAAGAGATACGTCCAAGACTCTCACGATCCTCCCTTGCGCTTCCTACTCTCTGCCTCACAATCAATTTACAAACATGTCCCATACCAGCCCAACATCCCAACTCCCCATCCCCCACATCCTCCCTCCCCTCCCAGCCCAAACCCTGACCCAGGGCGCTTCCGCACATCTTTCTTGAGCCAGACTGCCCCATGCCACCACTCCCCTGACCTCGGAGTCCAGGCGCTGCTTCTGGGCGCCCCTCAGCAGCTGCAGACTCCAGGCCCAGGCGCTGGAGGCGCCACACGCGGCGGCCCAGGACACCACGGAGGCGGCGCGCTGAAGCTGGAGACCGCGCAGCAGCTCCAGCGACGCCTGGGGGGGGAAGGGCGGGGAGGGGGGATGGGGAGCAGACACTCGGTGGTTTTTCGGAGTCTTCGTGGGTTTGCCGGGAATCTTCTTTGTTCGGTTCTTTCTCGATGCTACCCTTTTAAGCCGGGTGTTTTAAAGGGAAACCATATGGACAACCCACCTTTTTAGGGGTCCCTATTTGGACACGTAATTACCATCCGGCGAAAGGAGTGCAATTGCCAGTCCTGCCAGCATTCAGCCTCTGCGCAGCCAGAGATAGCGCTGTTGACGCCAGCCACCCCTGCCACCGCCAGCACCTCTCAGGAAGGCTCCGGTCCGTCAGTTTCAACTCGAACCGGCGAAGTGTTTCTTCCAAGGGCAACGCAACAAGTGTTGACCATACCTCCGAGAACAGTACATCAAAGACTCATACCCCACGTTGCTGCTCAAATAGTTTGGAAACTCCTGAGGTACCTAGATTGGGGTCTGGTGATTTGGCACAGGCGAAACCAACCTCCCAAACCTGGCCCATCCTCGGCACTGTATGAGGTGTGAGGCAAATTGAGGCCAATCACTTGCCCGGGGATGGGTTCTCTGCCATTCACAAGGAACATAAAAGGGCGCCACGGACGAACAACCTCGGCTCATTCTTGAGAGCTTGTCAGCGTCAGGGACAAAAAAAACAAAGCACAAGCCAACACTGGGCTATACAAGTTCATTGGCCAGGATAACGTGATTGCTGATCCGCCATCCTCGGCTTGCGATTTAGTTCTGGGTTCCTCTGGAAACCTGGCTGCCTTGCTCTGCCGGGAGACTTGCAAGCGATTCAACTCATCCAGCTCAAGATGCCCACCTTCCGGGCTTCCCATTTCCGCGCAGTTCGGTCTGTCTCCGAATGAGGAACCTGGTCAAAACGGGTGTTTGCCCGTAGATTCCCTTTCAAGCCCTAGAAAAAGGGTGCCATTGCGCGTGTGTGTATTCATATGTGGGACTCCCACAAATGGTTGGCTTCCTTTTGGTCCTTCTTTCAATTGAAGCCCCCCCAAGGGCATTACAACTAAATGCATTGTTTGAGATCCATTCAAGCCCCCCTACCAGGCAGCATATCGCAACAAACAAACGAATGATAAAGGCCACCTGGCTTCGAGTTGGATCTGTCATGTTGTGGGTTTGTCGCCAACCTATGGAACCCTGGTGGACGCCCTTCGGTGTAAATGGACCTTGTATGAGCAATGCCCAAAAACCCTTTGACTTTGGGTTCTATGAAGATGATTCTGAACTTATAAGGTTCATATAGGCCTTACTATGAATCCTTGTCTCTCTCTCTCTCTCTCTCGCAAGTGCTATCCCGCAGGTCCTAACACGGGAGCACTGTCCCCCCCAAAAAGAATGTTGACCCCGGATTAGGAAACAAGTACGTCCGTCCTAGTATTGCGGGGAGTTCGGTACACCTCCAACAATGATGAACCCCGACCACAAGGGGCGAAGCTTGTGAGACCAAGTCCTATGGTGAAAATGGCCCTGTTGCGTGTTAAACCAGGTCCTATGGTGAAAATCAAGTCCTATGGTAAAAATGGCCCCTTTGCCTTGGGGCACTCCCTTGGTTTCCTCCCCCCCCCCCCTCCCCAACCCCAGCCGACCTGTGCATCCAGCGCCCGTGGCCAGGCGAACGACACGGCGCCCGCCAAGGCCGTGCGCAGCGTCACGGCGTCCGGGGCCACCCAACGCCACTGGAGCGCCTCTGGGCGCGCGGAAGCAAGGCTCACGCCACCTCCAAGTTTACTGGGGGGTCCATTGGGGTCTGTTGGGCTCCACTAAAATCTGTTGTGGGGTGCATGGTCCTAGCAATCTACCCAAACCCATAGGTCAAGGATCTTCGAACCCAAAACCCAGAGGTCAAGGATCTTCGAAAGGCTCCAAGTTCGGAGCGAGAGCCCTTTTTAGATGGCGTTAATGGGAATCAAAGAAACCCACTTGGAGCGGCCCGGATTTTGACAGACACCCTCCTTGTGAGCAAACCCGAGTCTTGGGAAAAGCTCCATCTGACTCGAGTCAAAATCTGGTGTTAAACGTGCCTGCCCAAAACCATCCAAAGAATCACAAGGGAGCCGGCGTACTTGTTTATGGTTGACACTATTCTCTTCCAAGCTTCATCCACCCAGGTTTGGATCGTGCTTTGTCTTTTGGAGCAAACCTCATGGTAAGCAAAGATGAAACCATCCGTTGCAATTGGCTGGGGTGCAAGTTTCCCACCTTCATCCAGTCTGGTTGTTCGAAGCACGACTTTGTTCAGTGCCCTTGTCTGCCATTGGTTGGTGACAGCTTGTTGATGACTTCAAGTACCGTTGTGTTGAGCCACAGTGCTGCGTCCAGATTGTTGATCTGTGTACAGGCCCAACAGTTGTGCACCTTGATTGGCTCTACTCATTCTCTAGCCAGGGGCTGTGCAAAGGAGCCAAGTGTTTCGATATTGTGAAATCAGCTGTTTTGCTGACCAGCTGAGTCACGATCAAAACCTGGTAGTAAAATGCAGCAAGAAGATCTACCGGAAGTCTTGTCAACGAATTAAATTAAAGGCGGCCGTGCATATTTCTGGTGGAGACTGGATTTAGCCGGGAGCTGACCTGGTTATTTCAGATTCCAGGAGGGTGCTGCAAACAATTGCCTGCTGCTGTATGATCACGCATGCGTGCAATCCTGTGAATCGGCTAGGTGTGGAATCGCCTGGGTCTCTTGCTTCAGAAAGGGGGCCCTTGACAAACCCCCAGGCCCAAGGTCCTTGACCTCCCGTTGACCGCTTGTTCCATGGGCCCACGGCCCAAGAAGCCGGCCGGGCCGGAGCCCGGCATGTCGAGTTTTCGCTCGGGCACCCTCGGTGGATTCGTCAGCCCTGGTCGATTCGGGGATTCGCCCTAAACGGGCTCTCAAAAAAGGCTTCCAGCTTACGCCAAAGGAACCCATCTGTTTGAACAAGCATTTGCTGGAAACTCATTTTAGAACCCATTTCTCTTGAAGCCCGATTGTCGGAACCCAATTCCTTAGAACCCGCGCGGGTCGCCCCAGCTGACCAGGCCCAAGCGCCTCTCCACACAGCGCCCTCTCCCAGCGGCTGGCTCTGCCGCAGGCGGCGGCCAAGGCGTTGCCGCAGCGCAGCGCCCCCGAAGCCTCCAGCCGCCACCTGCCCCGAGCCCGGCGCTCGGCCGGAGCCCGGAGCCCGGAGGTCAGCTCAGCTGGGGATACCAACAAAGAAACACATGCCTCAAAAAACATGGAGACCCAGGCAGATCCCCGTTTTCTCTTTCTTGGGGGGTGGGGTCACCCTACTTGACACATAGCCAACATGTCCCTTTGGACGAGGGGAGCATACAAAAAACGGAAAACATGTCAGACAGGCTACCATGAAATCTGTCTAGATATTCATGTAGTCTGTAAATCTGGCTAACTGGGTTGATACTGAGCGTAAACCCCCGTGACACTGCGTTGGAGGGTGGGCATTCAGCAGGTCGCACCCGGCCTCTCCGTCTCTCCCAGGAGTTGGGCCGCCTGGCGCCATCGGGCGCTGCGGCCCAGCGCCGTCAAAGCTGCGCTGGCAGTGCCCGCGCCAGCCACAAGGCCCGCGGGCCAATGCAGGGCCTCTGCGTCAGTCACTCCGAGCTCGGGTGGGGTTGGGGGTGGGGTGTGGGCTGAGATGGCTGGTCAGTTGGGCGTGGGGGGTTGGTGGGGAGTGGATGGGTGGATGGGTGGATGGTGCGGGAAAATAAACGGAGGCCTCTGAAGCTGGCTTGGTTGCAACACTTTGAGGGTCCAAGTATACTGAATGCCGGGCGTGGGGTGCAAAGCACAATGCAACAGGGATCCTTACATTATACACCTGAACATTGCCTTGTAAATGGTGGCTTCCCCTTATTTTGGTGGAAAAAGCCACATGTTTCAAATGGTCAAGCAAAATGAATTTCTTTTAAGGAGCCCTGTGCAATCTGCCAGAAAACCCCTCGTAACGATCGGCAGCTCTGACACCCGGGCTTGGACCCGCGCCTGGCGCCACAAGGCTGCGCTGGCCAGTGCTGTGAGGCCAGAGTTTAGGCACACGGCGTTGAGGCGGAGGTGTCTGGTGGACAGAGCTGCCAGTTCCAACTGGGCCTGGCGAATCCGAATCGCAGAGGGCACCAGATTCTTAGCTTCTTGCTGTGGCAAAAACTGTGCAAAAATGAAGACAGTCCAATTCGGTGGTAGCAGGAGGTATCTGTGTGAAAGCGGGCTGTGACAGAATCTTGCCATGGAACAGGGAGAGCGTCAAGGCGTTTGTGCGGTTGCCCATTGACATTGGAATACCCTCTTTTGCAAGCATGAGAGCGGCTGTACAGCATTCGGACAAGCAGGGGTGCGGCACAGGTGCACACATCACATCTTCACACGAACAGTCTCCTTCATAGACACTAATTGCGTGTCGTACAACTTTTATGATGCCACGCAGTTGGTGGACAGAATTTCAAGGATTCTAGCATGACACGTCAGAGCACAACAAATTGCCGGAAACAACACAAACTTGTCAATAAGCCTCATCGCACTTCACTGGCCTATACCTGCATTGCCAGGAATTTGTTCTCTCCGGCCTCGTCAGCCGGTTGTGATAGAGATGCCTAAATCGGGGGAATCTGAGAATGCCCTCTCGCTGGCAGCATCCATGTCTTGCGCCAACAAATCGACACACAAGTTATTGTGTCAGCAGTCCGGCTCAATGTCGCCAGACACCAAATCAACCACGACAGGTGACGTCAGGGCATGAAAAAACGCATGCAAACAGCAAAACATGCCGTGAGCCATGAGCAAACATGGTCATATCATGTGGGATTACGGAAAAGGGGCACGAACTAACTGTGGCAGGCCAAGAAAGAAATCTGGCTCAGCCATAGAAACACGGCAACTCAGTCGACAAACCAAACAGGTCCCTGGATGCTCGGCTCCGAGTCCCAGGCGACCAAAACCCATCGACCCACGGAGGCGGGGCCGAGGGCTCGGCCTTGCTCCAGGCGGAGCCTTTCTCCCAGGCGCCCAGCGCAGCACCCCACACCACCAGGTCTGGCACCAGCGCCTACTGCAGAGAGGCCGGGCTATGAGAGGCCATGAACAGGTGGCCGGTTCCGGGATCTATCTCTACATACATATATATATATATATATTCGTATAGTATTATATCTATTGGTGGATTTGGTGGATTGGCGGATGGGATTTGATTGGTTGATGGATGGGGCTCTGTCTTAAACGGTTCACATCTGTTCGCACGACTACACAGGCGCTTGTGTACAAGTCAAACGACACACACACACAGAGAGAGAGAGAGAGACACACATGCTGGCAAAGCAACAAACAATTGTCAAGGCAAACGGTAAAATGCAATCTAGGTCTAGTCAACCTACATCACTCATGTGCATGGGAGCGGACAGGATTCCTATCATTATCTTCGCTTGTCAAACATTGGCTATGGCCTCGGCATGCATCCGCAACCTCTGCCGTCAAAACACACGCTTCTGTCATCCGCCACCTCTGCGTCCACTTCAAACCCGCTGTCCCGATGCGATGCGACAGGATGGCTCTGCCTGCTCCAGTGCTGCTGCCAGCTCCACCAGCCCCAGGCGCCACTTGCCGCTTCTGGCGCACCGGGCCAGGTGCGCGGACAACGCCAAAAGCGGGGCGCGGTCCATGAGACATGCCGTTCATGGGGAAAAAACGCGTGGTTTTTGGTGGGCGCTTCTTGGACCCATGTTGATGTGGCTCCTTCCTCACCTGCTGCGGCGGCTTTGTGTGATGTCACTTGCGTGCAAGCTGCTGGGGATAGTTGGTGGTTTACTGCTTTTGCCTCAGGTACGCTGCGATTTTCACGAGTGACTGTGACAGGCAGAACATCAGAGCATCATGACTTGAGTGACAAATGCTGCTAATATTGCCTCTGGGAAAGTGCTCTTGAGAATGATACTGCCGCAGGTTCCAGATCCCTGATGCTACCACTGCCTGTGCCGCAGGGGCTTGATTTGAGCTGAGGCAAAAGCACTGGCTTTGGCATGCTCAATGCTGCTGCAAATACAGCATCCTTGCCCATGTGCCACGCCCAAGACAGAGCTGAAACCAAATAGGAATGTGTCAATGGGCACCCCTCCAAGCGATTTCATGTTGACGTTGTTTTGGAATGGATCAATCGTCTGCATGTGTACATACATATACATATGAATATTATATGTGTATATATATATATATATGTATATATGTGTATCCGATTGAACACAAATGGCCCGTAGGCCCTGTCGCCCTGGGAAGGATGCATAGCACAGCTGCGCCACACCCTTTTGTCAAACATGTTCAAACCACTCTATTGTTCGAACAACCACACGAAAGGGACCAGGGCCTGGTTGCTTGAACCCATTTTGGCCAACGCTGGGATAGGCTACGGCCGATGGCCGGTAGCTGATGGGGCTGCCTATCTGGTTTCAGGGTCGCAAGCCGGTAAGCCGATGTGCAACATGAGACTTGCATCTCAAAAGCGGAGTCACCAGCTTGAAATCTGCAGCCAGCCAAGTCTGACATGACATGTTAAGCTTCTACTATAAGAGAAACGCTGCTCCGAACCAGACTTTTGCATTTCCATTGTCCAAACCCATGGGGTAAAAAACAAAAAAAACGAGGGTTTCAATTAAAGTTTATCCGGCTCATCTGGCCCAAAGGCCCGTCGCAGCGCTTTTCGGACTGGAGCTGACTAGTTCAGCCGCGGGGGCTTTGGTCTGTCTGGAAGATGGGCTTTCGGCCGGGCCGTCGGAGTGGAGTCACACAGATTCTCTAGACTCTCTACGCGGGAAACGAGACCCCCCTTCCATGCGGTGGGAAAGAACGACGAATCTTTCTGTGACGGTCCTGCTGTTTTGGTGGGTTTGGATTGCTGGGCTTCTCTACGATGGGATGGTCAGCCAATAGCATGTGGCCAAGAGTATCATGCTTGACAGCAAAGATTTCGCATGGATAGGCGAATCCAAAAAGTATTTCGAATGCCTGGTGAGTCGAGAAAACTGCATGCGCACACAGTATTGTAACCTGGAACTTACAGACTAGACATGGCCTCACACCTGTGTACGCCTTCCAACGGCAAGCCAGCAGCTATGGGTGAGGTGAACCCAAAACACCCAAACCACCCAGCTCCTTACAGTTTTGTACATTTTGTAGGTGCCACTTGTTGAGACGAGTCAAACAAACACCACCACCAATCAGTGGCGCGCGCGCACGCGCGAAGCTGAAGGATTGCTCCTCTGACGGCCCCAGGCCTCCCCTCCAGGCAACTCCCATAAGCCTTTTGCCTTCGGGGGCATCGCCTAGCTACCGTGCACGGCCAAATTCGCGCTCTCGGGAGCCTGGAACTGGGACAAGGCGGGCTTGAGGTCGTTTTTGCTGCGAGTGGGCATGGGGAACTTGGAGTCAAGCTAATTTTGACTGTTGCAGTTAGACTCCATCAGTCAAGTTATTTGTTGCAGTTAGAACAAACGATTCCATCTCTGACTGAACCAACTTTCTGGTGCACCCTCCGTCTGCCAGCCCAAGAAAGCAGCTCACGCGCCTGGTTCTCCGGTCTACGAGAGGAGGAAGGCGCACTGCCTTGCACGTCTAGAGCCCAGAGCCCAGAGCCATAGGGAACCAGGTGTCGGGACACCAGGACTGTCTGTTTCTTCACATTTCCTGTGGTTGCCGAAATCAAATCAAGGACTGCTCACTGAGAAATGCCCAATACCTCCCAACTTCCTGTATTTGGTTTGAGAACTACCTTGGCATATGCTCGCATCCCCTTTTACCCTTTGCCCATGACGTACCAGCTGAGTTTGTAGCAATCAAAAAGGTGGAAAGTAATGGGGGGAGGGGGTGAAGGAAACATTAGTTCACTTGCCACACTAATTTAGATAGGATTCAATTCGAAGCAGCATCTGCCAGTGCCCACATCTAGTTGTCTGGAGGCAACATGTCGAACAATCTGGACGACCTCTGGTCACGTCTTTTGCGTTCAGTCTTTGAAGTCTAAAATCCAAACAGTGCCAAACATGGTCGAACAACAATCTCGCCACAAAGGACGTCAACTTAAGGCGGAGGACCGAAAGAGCAACACAAGAAAACGGGTGCTTTTTCCACGGCTTCGTCTGCCATGTTCGCCGCCAAATGCGTGCAGCGGGGCCTGGATGTTGCAACCGGCCGTTGAGACTGCCAGCTGGTCAACCGCAATCCCCCGAACCGTCCGCACGGATGGGGAGACTGGTCCAGTAACACTCCAGTAGAACCAAACCAGCCACACGCCTGGTGCTTTGTGGGCATGCACTGCAAACCCTTTATGTCACAAACAAGCAAAAGAAACAAAGACACAACAAACAAAGGTTTACACAAACAAAGAAGCATATCATAGAAAGAAAGAAAGAAAGAAAGAAAGAAAGAAAGAAAGAAAGAACCAAAGAAAGAACGAACGAACAAACGAAAAAAAGAAAGAAGGAAGGAAGGAAGGAAGGAAAGAAAGAAAGAAAGAAAGAAAGAAAGAAAGAAAAGAAAAGAAAAGAAAGAAGGAAAAAAAGAACGAACAAACGAAAGAAAGAAAAGAAAGAAAGAAATAACATAATTAAAGAAAGAAAGAACGAACGAAGGAAAGAAAGAAAGAAAGAAATAAACAAAGAACGAACGAACAAACGAAAAAAAGAAAGAAGGAAGGAAGGAAGGAAAGAAAGAAAGAAAGAAAGAAAGAAAAGAAAAGAAAAGAAAGAAGGAAAAAAAGAACGAACAAACGAAAGAAAGAAAAGAAAGAAAGAAATAACATAATTAAAGAAAGAAAGAACGAACGAAGGAAAGAAAGAAAGAAAGAAATAAACAAAGAACGAACGAACAAACGAAAAAAAGAAAGAAGGAAGGAAGGAAGGAAAGAAAGAAAGAAAGAAAGAAAGAAAAGAAAAGAAAAGAAAGAAGGAAAAAAAGAACGAACAAACGAAAGAAAGAAAAGAAAGAAAGAAATAACATAATTAAAGAAAGAAAGAACGAACGAAGGAAAGAAAGAAAGAAAGAAATAAACAAAGAACGAACGAACAAACGAAAAAAAGAAAGAAGGAAGGAAGGAAGGAACGAACAAACGAAAAAAGAAAGAAGGAAGGAAGGAAGGAAGGAAAGAAAGAAAGAAAGAAAGAAAGAAAGAAAAGCAAAGAAAAGAAAGAAGGAAAAAAAGAACGAAGAAAGAAAAGAAAGAAAGAAAGAAAGAAAGAAAGAAATAACATAATTTAAAAGAAAGATAGAACGAACGAGGAAAAGAAAGAAAGAACAGAAGGAACGAATGAAAAGAAAGAAAGAAAGAAAGAAAAGAAAGAAATTAAAGAAAGAAAGAAAGAAAGAAAGAAAGAAAGAAAGAAAGAACGAACGAACGAACGAACAAATGAAAAGAAAGAAAGAAAGAAAGAAAAGAAGGAAATGAAAGAAAGAAAGAAAGAACGAACGAACGAACCAATGAAAAGAAAGAAAGAAAGAAAGAAAGAAAGAAAGAAAGAAAGAAAGAAAGAAAGAAAGAAATAAAGGAAAGAAAGAAAGAAAGAACGAACGATCGAACGAATGAAAAGAAGGAAAGAAAGAAAGAACAGAAGGAACGAATGAAAAGAAAGAAAGAAAGAAAGAAAAGAAAGAAATTAAAGAAAGAAAGAAAGAAAGAAAGAAAGAAAGAAAGAAAGAACGAA